TTTATCATCACTAAACGTGTTCTCGCATATTCGAAAGCGTGTTCTGAGAAGCACGAACGTCGACAAAAAATCCGCAGAGACCAACGACTGTGACGATGAGCCCTCTCAACTCCCGCCACCATCAACTCCCGCCGTCGCAGGTGGTGATGCCCTAAAAACAAGAAACCGGCAGTTACGACGATTATCATCCCTGTTTCTCCGGTGGTCTTTTGTTGTTGGATGCTTGCGATTATGGCGAGTTTCTAGAGTTCCGGCGAGTCCCCATGTGAGTAATTTGGCCTGTTATGTTGACCAGACACCGGAAGTTCACTCCAGCAAGAAAYCGGCAGTGGCTGTGAAGGAATAGAGAGGTTGTTACAAGAGAAGGTACGTGGTTGGCACTCTTCTTCGTCTCCGACCAATCAGTCTTCTRCCACTGCAATGCAATCGTTGGCACTCTTCTCCGTCTCCGGATATTCATTGCAAGGTTGTAAAATAATTGTGGGTGATCAAAGTGTATCACAGTATATCACAGTGTATCCGGTAGTTTTATTTTATGAACTGTATCACAATATGCAATTTCATTATTTCCCTTGTTTTATCACAGTCTATCACAATGGATTTGGTTTTGTTTTTATGGTTTGAGTTGGTATAATAGTTGGTATCATAAAGGTATCACAGTATATCACAATGGGTATCACATTGTGTATCTTTGTGATTACTTGGTACCTGCCGAAATAATGTTGGCCGGAAGCCGGAGTTTGGAGGTCAGAGAGAGGAGAGATGGGTTTTTTAAAAATACCTAAAATGCCCTTTAATTATAATTTTAACTCAAACTAGCATAATTACTAATTTTCTTATTTATCCGTTGATTTGTGGTTGAGATTGGATCTCACAGTTACCACAAACTAATCAGTTCTCCTTTGAATGAGCCCCTATGTATATATATACTAGAAGTGTACTCGCGCAATGCAGAGAGATACATTGTGATTTTAATATTTTATTTTATTTTTTATCTCAGTCGATGTTATAATATGGCTTTATGTGATTTTAAGAAAGCGATGCTGTTTTTATTTTTGAATAAAATATATGTTTGAAGATAT